TGTTTATACCAGTCTTTTTGATATTGATTATTATATGATATTGAAAATTGCGATATTTAAAACAAAATATTGTAAACAATATATTATACAGATTTCAAGATATATTTTTAAATAATTTGTAAAGATTTAATAAGACTATATGTATGCATCAATAAAAACTCTATAAAGTCAATTAAAAATGGAAAATATAATAATTTGATACTGCTATAATACTTAAAAATAATGTTATGGTTATCAATAAAAAACGATTATAAATGTGACCAGATATTTTATTAAATATGTAAAACACAATATATAATATACAAAAATAATTATATTTTTGTTATAAAGTACAAATAATTTTATATAATTATCTCAAGATAATGTTATAATAAATAAAACACTTATTATGTTGACAGTCATATTTGAAGGCACTTTGATTACTTGCTTTCTCAATTGTCAACAGCTTCCTTTGCGCACAACATTTTGCCGATAGCCTTCGTTTGCCAACATTCCCGATTGCCTACAGCACGATTGCCTACAAGCATTATATATTGCACACATATAATAATTAAAACGCATTACACACATGTTCATGACATCTTTGCGCACATACACATTGTACATATGGCAATATTGCATATATAGAAATCTGAATCTACATTTTATTTGATATTAAACATGCAAATAAACATTGTAAAATTAATGTTCAGTAAAACTCAAATTATCACATTTAACACTTGTTTGCAATTTTATTTTTAACAAATAATTTTTTTTTTTAAAGTAATGAGTAATGCTAAAAAAATTGTTTTAAAATTAAGTAGAATTACTTCTATTTACTTTAATTTTTATTGTTTGATGATTCCCAATTTTATTTAAAATGCACTTTTTAAAAATTCTATTGCTTTTTATTAACATTACACATTTATTCATATTAGTTTAGTTATTAATTAACTTGAACCAGTTTTATTTTTATGATGTAAGGATTTAGAAAATAATGATAATAAATTAGTCTTTATATACTTAAACTTTTTTATTCTTTTTAAAATCAAAATAAGCATTATCTACATATAGATTTTAAATAAATATATCTAAAAATTATTAAATAGGAAAATTAATTACAAAAGCTCTTAAACTTTTATCAAAATAAAAAATTAAATAATTATTTATTAAAGATTAAATAATTTAATGAAAAGATTATTTAATAAGAATTAAATAATTTCTTATTTTCAAAAAAACTTGAGTACCTTATCGATTACTTTATTTAAACTTAATTATTTAGTTTAATATATGTATATTAATGTTAAAATATTAAACAATGCTTATTTTAGTTTTAAGAAATAGAGAAAGTACTTATGTGAGAATTAATTAATTACTTTCTAAATTTTCTCTTTTTCTAAATTTTTACATCTTAAAAAAATGGAAATATATAATGTTTATAAATACAAAAATGCAATTTAAATAGAAATTTGAAATATCAATTAAAATTTTTTTTTTTTGTAATGCATCTTATGTGGGCCAAACGAAGAGACAGTTACAGACGAGATTGAAAGAACACAAAAATAATATCAAGTTGGATTCGATGAGAGACTCGGTAATTTCTGAACATATTAAAGATGAACACCATACATTCAATTGGGATAATGTATTGATTATGGATAAGGAAATCAATTACCATAAAAGACTCATCTTAGAGATGTTACACATTAAAGAACAAAAAAATGGATTAAATTTAAATAAAGACACTGAGCTTCTTAGCGAGTCCTATTATAATATTTTAGACAAATTAGCAAAAATTAAACAATAATAAGACAAATAGGACATCAACAGTTTAGGCACATCTTTCCGATAGTATATAAACACATAATTTGCGACTAAATATAGTTCAAAATGAGGTGTCTTGTTAGACGGTTGGTTTCATCTATTTATAATAATTTAAAAAATTTTGTTAAAAAAATTGTGTTAAACTGTGAGAAGAAGCAACACAAAGTAAGCATAATAAATTTATGTAAGGCCTTTTATATATTAGTAGATATACGTTAACGTTATTCATTTATCAATCACAGCGCCTATGGATATTAAAAATTTCTCGCTTAAAAACGAAATAACTTACGAGATCCAACATCATAAGATTTTATTACGGCGAATACTTTTAAAACATGACAAATTGTAACACGCATAAAGTTCTAATATATTCTCGACTCGAATTAACGGACTATTAGTAAATTTTAAGAATAGGATGATTTTTTTGTAAGAATTATAAATTACGTAACACTGTTATACTGAGGAAGACCGCGTGCGGTTGACACGTTTATATATGGAAGGTTTTTTGTAATTTCAATATATTGTTTATATGGAAGGTTTTTTGTGATTTCAATATATTGTTTATGAAATGAATTTGATTGGATACATCTTGAATATTGCTCGATAAGTTGGCCTTTGTGAATACATTTGTTGTTTTAAGAAATTTGAAAAATAAGATAAAAATAGAATAAACATTATGACAAAAATATAAGTAATTTAATCTTATTGTCTTATTTATTAAAATTACAAGATTTCACACTTTTCTTTCAAATATTAATAAAATTTAAGAAAGATAATATTTGGTATATAAAGTTATCAGGATAAGATGATTCTAGAAAGTGATAGTTTACGAGATATTTATACTTTAATTTTATATAATATTGTATTATTTACATAAAATATTACGTAAATAATATTCAATGGATATAAAGAAAACACCTAGCTGGCATTTGAAAATTGGTATTAGATTGTTCTTCCCTGATAAAATGAGCTGAAATGTTCACGAAACGTTGAAATCAAATAATAAATCTACGCGGTTCAAATCCGAAAACCAATTCTAAAATATTTTATAGAGTTTCGAGGGGAATATAAGATCGTGATCTACAGTATCTCTGAGTAGCGTTTCTCAAAGTCATTTAGAGATCAGTACAATTTTTTTAAACAAAACTACTTCGTTCTTAAGTGAATTCCTCGTAATATTCGATACAATAAGTCATAAGAGTAAGATGTCCAAAAAATAAATAGTTTACAAAATATTTTATACTTTTGTTTGACATAATTTTATATGAACCATGAAATATTTCATGAAATATTTATTTTCCGATCTTACCTCAATACTTTAATGTACAAATTAATGAAAGAAATCAATGGATATAAAGAAAACACCTAGCTGGTATTTGAAAATTGGTATCAGATTGTTCTTCCCTGATAAAATGAGCTGAAATGTTAACGAAACGTTGAAATCAAATAATAAATCTACGCGGTTCAAATCCGAAAACCAATTCTAAAAATACATAGAATTGTTTTCAAGCAAAATAAATTGCAACTATAACAGCTACACATTTTACGCTTTACATATGCATATAACGTAGATGTATACGGGACAAGGATAAGGATCTTATGACTCGTTCGGATATACAGAAGTTACATTCATTAACATATTATCATCAACATTCTTATAAACACATGGTAGGGAAGGTTTGGGGTCAATAAATACTACAGACGTGACGAACCGTAGGGGTCTCACTCCTGTCCTATAGACGCACGACGCACGCGTGTGTGCGCACGCGCGACACACACACACCCGCGCGCGCACACACATATATATGTGGTTTCAAACATCAATGCGACATTCTTGAACAGAATTATAGCAGCTTAAATTGATGAAAGATGACGGACACACATTTTAAATCACACAATTTATTGCTAAAAACTAACTTTTTTCAGATTGACATAATTAACTAAATGAAAAATTATTGTATCAAGTTTTGCCAAAGCGCATTTTAAAAAGAAAAGTTCTATATTTTACACACTTTTTATCCGATTGACTAATTTATTTCGCGCAATTCAAAAAAGTGGACTTTTATTAATCAGGTACTGGTTCTCACTGTCATCCGCCATTGCAAGTCTAATCATTCCATGCAATCAACACTATACATTTTTCAAACTACAAACTTCAAGATTTATTTTTGTGTTTGAAACACTTTAATATTATAAATATCAGCTGCATTATTTTAAATTTTACAATTTATTTTTATTTTTTATTTGTATTGCTTTTTTTATTATATATATATATATATATACATATATATACATATATATACATATATATATACATATTATATATATATATACCCATACGGCACAGAAATATTGCAGCAACATTGCAGCAATATTTATTTGCAAAATTGCAACATTGCAGCAATGTTGCAAAATGTTGCTGCAACATTGCAGCAATATTGCAGCAACGGTAAAATGTCCGCTTGTAGCAATATTACAATACAATACTGCAGCAATATTACAATGCAATAGTGCAACAATATTGCAATATAATATATGTATATATATGTATTATAATGCTTTGTATTGACGTAAGATCGCGTTGACTGAACTTGCTGCACTAGTTCAGAAGTTATCTTTTTCCTTCGAACAATGTCGAGCAAAAAAGACAACTTCTGAACTAATGCAGCGAGTTCAGTCAACGCGAACAGACAGAATAAGTGGTATTTTTACATTCTAATTAAATCTGAGATATATATTTCTCATAGATTGTTAGAATGTGCGTGTTTGTAAATATATATTACATGCAGTATAAAAGAGAATATTTCAGAAATTAATATTTATGTATATATATGAGTTACATGAAATAAAATATACGCAACATTTAAATTTATTCTTATTATATATTAATCATGTAAGAACAAAAAATACATTTGCGAAAATGTAATAAGCAGTTTTATATGAAACAAACATTACATGTATGTAATTAATAATCGGTTATAGTTTTGAATAATAAAAATATAAAGATATACATAAAAATATAAAAATAATAAAATATTTAATCGTCTTAAATTCTATATATCTTTAATATATTCTATAAACTATGATATAAACTATATGATATATAAAATTATATAATATCTTAGCTATGTAATATATTGCTATTACATAATATTTATAATAAAATTTTAGTATTATTTTTTGGTAATGTCGTTCTCTTCTAATTTTTTTCTTCCTGTTTTTTAGTTCTTCCTGTTCTTCTAGTTTTTATTTTTCTTCCTGAATATGTCTAAAACGTTTAATAGAAAACTTAAAAATTATAACTTAATTTCAAATTATATAATTATATCAAATATTTATATTTTAATTCAACATGTTTTACATTTTTTTGTCAAAGTGTAATACGAAATTATAACTATAAAGCCTAAAAATTTTATAAGAAAATAATATTCAGATAATATACAGCATTTTCTCAACATATTAAACAGAAAAAATAACATATCTATTTGTTCAAGCTTAGTTATCGATTAAAATAAACTGATTAAAAATAAAAATAAAAATAAAAACTAATTAAATCAAATAATCATTAATCTGTAAGCAATTATGACGTTCCTAACAAATAAAATGTACATACTTTTTTTCATCTCTTTGAACTCTTACAGTAGCTTGAGACAGCCATTTAGATGTGTATTCTGCAATGTCATTATCTGTCAGATTATTATGTTTTACACGAACAGCTTCTGTAATGCACATACATAAATATTTTTTAATATAAATTGTAAATATTTTCTTATAAACATGTGTATATTTTAGACAAATTTTAAAGGAATTTCTAAATAGATACATGAATCAAGCAAGTTAATCAAAAATTATATTAAAGAGAACTTACGTATAATTATTTTAGAAAGATTTAAATCTTTGAAGCTACGCTTATTTTTTTTTCCTGTCCAATTGAAATTTTGAGCTAAAGTGTCTGTTATTACTTTTTTCATAATATTTCGTATCATGGCATGTGCATCAACTCCACCAACAAGTTTTAAAACATTAAGCTAAAAAAATAAACAATGTTAAAAATAATATTATATTAAATACTTTTGTTTAATAAATAATTAAATGACTTGTAAATACGTTAATATAAATTGAGCTTTCTTTATTTTACAATTAGTAACAAAAAATATGTCATTCATGGAATTAGTGATAAGAAATGTAATCAAAAATTATTAAACATTAAATTGTGATATAACTAACTCTATAGAAAAAAATTAACATCTATAATATAAAAATAAGAAATCTTTATCACATACAACTTTGTCTTTAAATTCGATTTCCTGTAATTGATCTTCAAAGGATATTAATTCAGTAAGTGTAGAAATCGGGAAATGAATATCACATTCATCTTGACTATCATAAGAATGGCAGGAAAATTGCATTTTCTCCTCTAGCATATTAATTTTGATTTCTATACCGCCTAATTTATATAATATTTTGTTCAATTTTCCTATAATCTGTTTCTTGAACTCTGGAACAAATATATATACACACACATATACATATATATATATATATATATATATATATATTTAATTAATGCTATTATTTGCTGCTAAATATCATACAATAATTATACATATATACTTTATTTTTAACTACAGGGCCTTTTAGTAAAAAAAAGTAATAAATATAACAATAATTAACTTTTATAATAAATATCATAAGCAGACAAACCTTTCTCAGTATTTTCAGAAGAATCTTAAAGAATCTTTATATTATTCGTAGCAGCTTCCTTATTATTTTTATCTAAAAAATAAAAAATTAATGATTTTTGTTATAAATCATGTATTTATAAGTTTTAATTATAACTTACCATTACTATTTATAGGATTAATAATATTTTTTTCACGTAAAATATTTGTAATGTTTTGTATAGGCTCAATGACTTTATTAACAAAATTGCCTCTGTCAGGAAAAGGAGGCAAAATTTTATGTTGTATTACATTTATTTTATTTTCTTTATTTTTTAAATAGATATCTTCTTCTTCTGAAGAAGAAGATGATAATATTTTTTTCTTTGCTTTCATACGTCTTTGCTTTTTATTTTGTTCTCTTAAATCATTTGAAGACATCCCAGTGTCATCTATATTTGACGTGTCTTGTGCTAGACTTAATTTTTGTAAACTTTCTTCATAAGTATATAAATTATTAAAAACAAAAGAAAAATGTATACAATATTTATATATATTAAATGATAATTTATATAAAAAAAGTTCTCTTACTTGCTCCACCAAAAATTCTTTTTATTGGTAACTCTTCCCAATCAGATTTTTCTCGAGGCATCTCTCTTGCCAATATGGCCTTGTTAATGCGATATTTAGTTTTCATATGATTAGGCCATATACATGATAATTTATCGGCATTGCACCATTCTGAGGGTATAACTTGTAACCCGTCATGAAATTCCGCAATGAGAAATTGGTACTTATCCATTTTTCTGTGATGTGAAATATTCCGTATAACATCACATGTGTAGTTTACATTATTAAAAAAAGATATTAATTAACACAAAAATACATTATTGAAAAAAAATTATTATATAACACACACAAAAATTATTATATAACACACATAAAAATTATTATCTATAACACATAAAAATTAATATATATAATTATATTGTATGATTAAGAGGAAATATTACGAATGTATTTGCATGATTTCCGAAAGGAATTTTCCATGCTTTACCTAATAAATCTGTAATTGGCCATGAAAATATGCTATCATTATTTACTGTCATTACTTTTATATTAAAATTACTGGATTTGTATGGTAATTCATATACATCTTTTATGTACTTAAGTTTCTTAGCAATAAGCAAAAAATCTTTATTTTTTTGCACTATATTCAAAATTAAAACATATTGACCGCTTTTCAAAAGACAACAATTATTATTTTGACCTTTACAATTTATATTAAACTTTTCATTTGACATCATTAAATATTGCAATTGAATATTATAATTATCTGGTACTGGACCATTGTTATGTAAATATTTATATGAATTTAATGTTTCATTATTAATACTTGACAGAAAAGAATTACAATTTTCAATTTCATTATATTTTTTATATAATTGTTGAAGCGGTTTTTCATTTTTACGTAATCGTTTTTTGATCGATGCCATATAGTTTTCAAAACGAAAAGCACTAAAATTGTCTAATGGACCATATGTTCTTACATCGGAACATATATGTAATAAATTATGTATATTATGCGACATGTATTGTTTACCATATAAAATTTCAAATGATATGACAAAATGATTTAGTAAAGATTCCGCAAAATTTATTAGTTCTTCATTTAAATTTGAACGTATAAGAATTGTGACAGCTATATGTAGAGTGAAAAAATGAAGATATATGTCTGGCTTTAATATATGTCTTAATACAATGGGTCCTGTGTATAATAAAAAATTTCTAAACTCTATTGCTTTCCATTGTTTGACATCTTTTAATGATCTGGGTTTTCTAACAAAATCGTTTGGTGTTGAATATTTCAGCAAAATTAACAAGTGTGATATTTTATTAATAGATCTGATACTTAAGCGTACATTACGTGGACCCTTTATCCAAAGAAGGATAATTTTTTTGACGACGCCTAAACATATAAGATGCATATAATCTAGTGGTGTGTTACTTATAGGCAAAAATCCAGGAATATTATTTAAAATAGAAAATCCAATCTGAAAATCTTGATAAGTATTAGCGGAAAATAATTCATCTTTTCTAGAAGGAAATGTTTTTTTATATGGAAAGCAAACTCTACCATTAATATATTTCCTCTTAATCACACATTTCGTACAACTGTAAAATCCGGTATGGCCTTTTACACATAACACAAAAGATTTGGCAGGTGCGTCACAAATTAAACCAAACAATCTAATTTTGATTATGCTTTCATTATAAATATAACCATTATTAGTGAAATTAATTAAATCATCGACTAAGGCTTCTAGAAAAATATTAGAATCTGTAGGTTTCTTATAACCAAAATATGCACCAACGAGATATACTGTCTTATTGACAGTATTTGAACATAAAATGGTCCATAATGACGCTTGAGAAGATTTTGATAATGGCAAACCATCAATATTAATTAGTAAATTAACATATGTATTATTATCTTTTAATAGCATTTTCTGAATAATATCATTCAAACCAAAATATAAATATTCTCCTTCACATATTTTTGAAATATGCTGAGTTTTTCTTGGAGTTTTTAATAGTGTTCGTGCATCTGTAGGTAGATTATGCGAAGTATATTGCTTAAAAATTTTCAACAATTCATTACAAGCAGTGCGAGAAATATTGTGTGATACAGCCCATGTAGCTAATGCTTTATTTAATTCATCATCATTATTAGGTTTATGTATTTCATCATTTATAACAAAGTTATCATTATTATTATTATTATTATCATTATTAACATCTGAAGATGTAATTTTGACATGCACATTATTAATCATATCATTAACACTGTTTGTATTACATAAAGAAACTTCTTCATCAGTGACTTTACACAATTTTACATTTGAAGTCTGTTTAGAAGAAGTATTGATAGTATGCCATTCCAAAATTTCTCTAGAAGATCCTGCAATATCTATAGTTGTTTGATTTGCAACAATCCGTCTACTGTGGCGTTTTGAAATAAGTTTTCTTTTACGTGTGTTCATATTTCTTCTACAATAAGTAAACTATACAAATTGTATTGCAAAAAATTTAAGAAGAAAACATTTAGAAAATAATTACAAGAAAATAAAACAAATATACGTATTTATATATGTACATGTAAACGTATCTGAAATATAAACTAATGAAATTAAAATATATATAATTATAATAAGTATATTTGTAAAAATATATAAAAATATATACAATTATAGAATAAATATAAGAAATAAAATGTATAAAAGAATATGTATATAGAAAAATATAGAAATATATATAGAAGGAAATGTAAGTGAATAACAAGCAGCCAAATATTTTATTAACTAGATACGGATTTCAAAAAGATTGGCGATAATTTTTCGATTACGCCGGTCGAAAGAATTTAAAGTAAAAACTCAGCTCGATGGATCTTATTTCTCACTAAAACAATAAGTTTCAATTTAGGTTAGGTTAAGTTAAATTAAATTGTAATTATTAAACAACCATATTCTGCTGGAAATGTAATAATGCCATTTTACATACGTGTTCCTTGCTTCGTTGTGCACTTAAAATAAAATTAATTGATTGATTATGTTTATTGCACTTGTCGCTAATAATCACTTATATCACCCGTGAACGAACCTTGCACTTCGCACTTTCCGAACTACACCCGGCGCCCGGTGCAAAATCTCAAAACAGCTGAACCATAGCACACACACACCCACACACACATATATATACATATATATGATATGTCTATAGGATAAACGTTTCAGTCTCAGCTCGCGAAAGCAACAAAATATTTAAATATAAATATAATTATTAATAATTAATAATATTATTAATAATTTTTATATTATAATTATAATAATTAATAATATTATTAATAATTTTTATATTATAATTATAATAATTAATATTATAAACTCATTTGTGTTTTACATAATAATGATAACAATTTTAAGATTGCTAAATTATAATAAAAAAATATGCAAATGCGTACACCAATTAAATTAATATATTATATTATTTTTACTATTTATAAAATTATAACAGTATATTTTTAATATATATTGCTGCAACATTATTACCACATTATTACAGCAATGTTCTATATTCATATTTCAGCAATGTTGCTGAAATATTGCATTGCAATATTTCAGATTGCAATATTGCTGCAATATTACATTGCAATATGCAAGATTGCAATTATGCTGCAATATTGCTGCAAGGTCCTGTGCCGTATGGGTATATATATATATATATATATATATATATATATATATAACGGTCAAAATATGTATATTGTATATATGTATAATATTATATTGTACGTATCAATAGATCCTGTTTAGACTGAAAATGAATGTCCAGAAGAAAACGATCAATAACAACTAAATATTCATATTTAACTATCTATATACACATATAAGTATATACAGATTATAATCATATGTATGTACCTTACTTATTGTTAGATCTTCTATGTATATTCTGGTTATATTTGCATATTTCACATTCTCTACATAATATGCATTGCTTCAAAAAAGTATACAAGCTATCCCACTTTAAAGTTTACAGTATTAAATCTCGCAAACCAATGATTTTATTGAAAAATGTTTCAAACAAAAGTTGTAGGGCTTTAAGAGAGATATAAGATAGTGGTAAATAATTTGACCTTGGATAGTCGCGAAAATCACATGAAGATTACCTTTAATTTCTTAAATAAAATCTATTTTTTATTGCATATTTTTGTAGCTTATCTTGAGTGAGTTTTCTGGAACACTATAATAAAATATTTTTCTCTTAAGTATTTTTTTGAGTTATAAGGTTTGAAGTTTACAATTTTTTGACGTATGTAAAATATATATCTTGTAAAATATTCAGTTTTCGGTAATCTTACCTTAATACTTTTATGCACGAAATAATGACACCAATCAATGGATGTAAAAAAAAAAAACAGATAATTGTTTAAAAAAAACTATGAAGTTTGCAACATGCAGCTGCGTATTTTATCTTAAAAGCAATAATTATGTTTTTTTACACCAATTGATTGGTTTCATTATTCCGTGCATAATGTATTAAAATAAGATTATCGAAAACTGAATATTTTACAAGATGTTTTATATATTATATGTCAAAAGAATTGTTATCTCCAAACCTTATAATTTAAAAAGTACTTAAGAGAAAAATATTTAATGCGATTACTTAATATGATTTTTTATTTATTTTATGTGTGTAATTTATATGTGCGTAATATAATGTCATGTATATGTGCACAATAAAATCATGTGCACAATCCGTATGAGCAATAACGTCATATGCAAATGTGCGTTTGTATTTTAAATGATTAAATGTGCGCTTGCAGGCAAACGTTCTGTACGTAATCAGAAATATCGGCAATGAAAGCTATCGGTAAAACGATGTAAACAAACGAAGCCGTTGGCAGTCAAAAATGTAGATAAACGAAGTCTTTCTCGATATACCAAGTGGTGTTCTTATAGCCCGATAGGTGGATTTAAAATAATTTTATATTTATATTATAAAATTGAAAGAGTAGTCGCCCGGCAAGCGAAAGGTCTCGGGTTCGATTCCCGATTCAGCGACTTTCGGATCTATATTTTTCTCTCACATTTATTTCCTTAGGGGGGAAGAGAGGATGTATGGAATTAAATCTCATGTATAGAGATTATTCCTATTTTAAGTCTTGGCCGTGACCAAGTAAAATTTGGTGCCTTGTGTACAGGTATTTAATTCTAACGAAAAAATTTTAGTTTCGTTGGGATAACGCACTGTCATCCGCGATTTGGCTTTTATTGCTTGTTTATACACTTTAGATT